AGTAGGCTTCCATGTGACTGCGTATGTCAGAAAAAAATAGGCTATGTCTTTATTATAACGAGTAATTCCTCAAACATGAATTCTGAATGATATGCGTGCTGTAATGTAAGTTACAAAACGCTGCATAAGGAATACAGCTAATTGAATCATGGAAAATTAACCATGCTTTTATTATAGCAAAAGTGTTATAGGCTACAGTAAAAGTGTAACCATGTTATTTGGCTGATTGATTACCTCTTGTATAACCACAGCTTTACTACAAATACCATGGTTAGTGTAGTAAAACCATGGTTAATTTGTGGTTACTATGGTTTAATTACAATAACCATGTTTTTTGTTTGTTTGTTTGTTTTTGTAGTAAAACCATGGTTAATTATCGTAAGGGCTCAATGAGCGTTTATAACTTGGTGACACAATGATTTTAAAATTCATATGATCATTATTTATGTTGTAGAACAACATGTGAAAGTTGCTTCAAGTAAATGTGAAGCACACCTGGGGCAAGTTCAAGCTCAAACCGGTGCGCAACAAAATACTATACATATTTATATATTTTGCTATTGTATTATGGAGTGACACTTTAATAAACCTTTCTATACCCCTCTGATTATATAATGGTAAATATTACAATATCATAGCACAACAACAGTGATCAGCAATAATGATAAGCCTAATACTCACAATAAAAATAATAAGGTCATATAGATCATAACACAGTCTCGGAGGTAAAAAGTGTATTATCCTTCACCTGAAATGTTTGTCTTTTCATCCTGAAAAACGTTGTGATCAACAAATGTTGGATCACAATAATTAGGAACCACAGTTTGCACAAATCCCTTCACTCTATTGGGATTAAACACATATTTATACCGATTTCATCAGGCTCTGAAAATTCTTCAAAAAGAACACAAAGAATGGCCTTCTCAGCTGCCATAGTTGCAACTCTTGCGTCATCAGAACAGAGTGTTCAACGCACCACCGTTTCCGTTTAAAACACGTTTTGCACCGTTTTGTCGGCGCTGAACGCAGCCCAGACTTCCAGGTTGGCCTAGAAACCGTCGTCATGACTGATCACAAAACTTCTTGGAAACACTGGAATTTCCTTCGGGAAGTGCAAATCTCGGTCATGCAGTGTTGCCAATTTAGCAATTTTGTTGCTAAATTTAGCAACTTTTCATACTACCCTACCAACTTTTTCTTCCAAAAGCACAAATTTAGCAATAACAAAAAAAGGCAACTTTTAGCTACATTTGATAAGTGACTATAAAAAGGCACACATTTTCCATCCAAATTACACAAAATGAGGAAACCAAAGATGCCTATCTGTACACACATCACGTGAATTGAGTTAGCTGCTATTTGCAATTGTTCAATTTAATAATAATAATAATAATAATAAATGTAATAATTGAATAATTGTTCATTTATGATACACTTTGTCAGTAGCTTGTACCTGCGGTTGTTGATCAATTAGTACACTGTAAGAAAAATGGAAAAGATAGGCTACTAGTAATTTTCCAGGACATTATCCATTGTAACCCGAAAACACAATGCATAATTTAAAATGCAGGTAAAAAACCAATACAGAAAATTCTTTCATATTAACAAAGTAGATTGTGTCCTTTTACATACTGTTCTTAGAGTGTAGCATACTAACTAACTACTAATACACTGCTTAAAGCGTAATTGTTGAGAATGTGTAGTATTACTAGTTTACTAGCTATTTAAAAAAAACCAAATTGTAATCATTCAAAAATGTGTAAGTGTTCAATAATTCAATGTATTTAAAAATACAGTTATTTCTATTTTAATATTATATTATGCATATTATTTTACAAACAAATCAAAATGAACATATATAAAATATATATTTTTGCTGAGATTTGATGTTGTGACACAATTTTGCGTCGTGATTATCATCGCGCAATGCCGTCACAAAATCATTTTTCAATGCTTTATTTATTCAATCTCACAAGCACAAGTATTACATATTCACATGATCAAATTAACATTAGCTGCCAGAGAAAATAGAAAAGAGAGAAAAAATGAAGAAGAAAGCGTTCAGTTTTCAATGCTTTTTTTTGTTTGTTTGTTCCAAGAGATTTACATATAAAGTCATTTATAAAATGTGAAAAATTTGGTTTACATTGAGCCCACTTCTTCTTATGTATATGGAATTTTCCTTTTATTTTACAATTATTTTACAATTCAAATGTTCGTTTTCTGTATAAAAAAAGTACATCAAATAACATCACAACATCATTTAGTGACTTTTAGCAACAAATCGGCCTTCTTTTAGCAACTTTCTCTGCGGTCATGATGCTATTCTGGCTGTAGATGGCGGCAAACCCTGTTCCGTTTCGCTTTGGCAGCGCGCCGGAGTTTGGGATCCAGACCCTGGGAAAAGAGCAGCTTTACCCTTATAAGGCCACAATCCATCCGCTCCGTTTTCCCCCAGACTTTTCCTCTCCACCCTCCCTTCCTCTCTCTCTCTTTCTCTCTCTCTCAGGCCGCAGGGATATTTACAGCAAGACTGACTCGGCGTACCTTATTAGGAGCTGTCCTTGTTGTCAGTGTATATGTAGATGAGACAAACAGATGAGAGGATGGCATTCATTCTCAAGGGTCATGTGGTTGTTTGTCAAAGGTAACGAGAGGCAAATGTCTGATCTGTGCAGCACGTGTCAGAATCCCATTCAGAAGTGTCTTTTTAACGCTCTCTGGCCCTCAGGTTTCTCTCTTATCATTCTCTTGACCTTCTAAACAAGGTGTCAGTCGAGAAGAACTAGCCACTGAACGAATCATTTTGCCGTTCGCTCTCACTCGGTCTGGTTTTACTGTAACTTCCTGTCCTTCTCTCGGTGGGAATGTTGGATCCATTATTCCAGCTGTTCTTCTTTTTTTTCCCTGCTATCTGATGATGAGGCACATCTGGTAGACATGCACACAGCATTAGGGAGAAGTCCTGATGACTTAATACTGCTAGTGTTTGAACATGATGCCCAAAAATACTGAATCAACTCTAGAAATTCAACTTTCAAACGTGCATATATTACACACCAAACTGCTGAAGTTGTGCCGAAGAATTTTAAATGAAAAGTAGACAGAAAGGATGAATATGAACAGCGCTGGGTAGCTGTAAATGATTCTAAATTACATGACAAAAATTGCAGTTAGTAACAGATTACACATTTTAGATAATACTACTTTTAGATTACTTTTGACCCAACTCATTCATCACATTGATTGAAATAGGATATCCTTGTACCCTGTTGACATGGAAATATTTTCAAAATATATACTGTATGTGTGTGTATTTATATAGACATAATAAATATACACAGAACACACATATATATTTTGTAAATAAAAACATTTATTTTGGATGCGATTAATCGCGATTAATCGTTTGACAGCACTAGTAAAAATACAAAGAGAACATTCCATTTGTTGTTATTAATGAAGCGCATTAAACATTACATTACGTCAAGATTTCCCAAACTGGACTCCGTGAACGAATTGCACGAGATTAATGTAAAGCTAATAATTAATCATAAAAACGTTTAAAAAGTGAAAGTGAAGTGAGGCCAAGTATGGTGACCCATACTCGTGCTCTGCAT